AAATGGATTCTTCCACGAATAATTCAGTATATGAATTACACGAATTTTAATTAAAGTAACAATTTTAATTTTATTCCTCGTATTTTCCCTTCTAAATATATTTCCAACAAGCTCTGCTTCAAATCTACAAATCTATCTTTCGATTTTGATTTTGGTACGCACGTGCAATATTAAATATTTAATATCGCGGTTCGTATACACGAATAGATAAATCATAATTTAAACATTTTGTATTTAACAAAGGCTAATAGCTTCTAAAATTTAATCTATTATCTATCATAAGGATAAAGGGTTGACAATACGCTCTATATTGAAGCAAAAATAACTGCGACAACTCGAGAATAATCCTTTTCCGCGTATTTCCATCAATCAAGGGATAGAATTCCAGTGGGTGGCGATTTTGAAAATACGACATCCTATTATACCCATATGATACGGATGATATAGGGGGAATCGCGAAAAGCACGCGATGCACGGGAAATGAAGTGTCTTTGAGTCTCAATAATCCACGAAATAGATATTCGCCGGTGGATAGAACATTTTGTTGCAAATTTATCGACGTCCGCGCGGATTTACGGTTCGCAATTTACGATCTAGGCGGCCATCTACGATCGGCCGGCAAGAAACATTGTTATGGTTTCGCGGTGGGGTCAACCCTTGACTCCGGCCTGGAATTATTTTGCATAAATTTCACCTTATATGACTTCGCAAACCTTACTTCGCTCTGCTTTCGTGTTACGCTTGTTGAAATCAAATTTCTCGAGTAATAGGTTGCAAGCAAGTTGGATAATTTGTATCGGGTTATAGCTCTGTCGGGGAGAAATATGAAAAAAGAATATTGGATAGGGGAATTTTGCACTTTTTTTCAACGTTTTTTTATTAGTTTTTATATATATTTAACTATAGAACGTTTTTTGATTTAGTTTTAGATCGGTTTGGATCTAGTTAATAACGATTTCTGATTGTCGGTTCATTCATTCCGGGAATCGTATCTCAATATTTTAACTCTCTAGTGAAATTTAAGATTGAAATTTTGTGAAACGTTGATTGAAACTCGTGCATAATTTTACATTGGTCTCGAGGAAACATTTGAATAAAATTGCTTTAACGATTGTCGTGTTAATTAACTCAATTTAAAATAAAACTTTCGAAATAGTTTGGGTGGTTATACATTTTTGAATAGCTCTATAAATCGACCTCGAACTTCGAGCAAACAATTTTCTACAAAGAAGTAATCGAAGTTGGCGAAATCCGTTCGAAGATTCGATGGTGCATCTCTATATCAAGCGAGATTAAACAAAGATCCTACCACGATCCTGTTCAATGCTCTACTTTCGGACTTTCCGGTTAATGCGACGATTTAATCCCTTCTCCAGAACTTGGCCTATGTATTGCCTACCATTTAAAAGAATTATCCTTTATTATATCCTTTGGTGGTAGGGAAATCGACTAATCCTTTCAAAAACATGATCTCCTTTTTTAAAAGGGATGCTTTATCCTTTTCGGTTGAAAGAAAAACTTAAAATCCATATGTTCCCAAAGAATCGTATGCAAGCATGAGATGAACAGAAGATAAAACGGATAATATGAAATCATAGTTTGTTTTCACAGACGATTTTTCGAAATCTAACGCATTAAATGTAAGTTTAAAGTAATTTGAGATTTTAAAATAAAAAGTAATTATTTATTTATTATAATTGGTTCCATACTATTATTTTCTCTGTTATTATTGCCTCGAGAAACGATCTCTTTTCCCTTTTAGTCTGTCATTATGCATGCCGTGTAATCCTTGACTGATATAAAAAATTTAGAGGGATTGGCTGAACGTATATCGATGATGAAAATCGCTCTTGCAACGGTGGATAAAAAGTCGAATAGAAATCCGAGGCACGCCTTTAACCTTCCACAGTTTATTAAGCCTCGAAATAGTGAGACTCGAGAGGCTCTTATTTATCAGAAATCCGTGCCTTATCTTCGTTTTAATGTTTTCCGCGACGAAATATTCGAGACGTTAAATACGTTGAGGGACACCGTGAAGGAGTGTCGTTGTTGAAATTATATAGAAGAGAGAAATAGAGGAAGTTTGGAAAAAGGAATAAATAGATAGGTCCATTTTTACAATGGCGAGAATATTAATAATAATAGTAGTTGTGAAATTTTTTAGATATTAATTAATAGAATTAACATTCCACTTTTGATAATATTTTCTTTTTTTTTTAGATAAAAGAATAGCTTCGATATCGAAAAATTAGAAAAATAAAAAATCGAGAAATTATTAAATTGAAAAAAAATCGAGCTTATTATGTTTCTCTTCCCGTAGTCTTTAAACGTAAACGCGTAGTATTTCGAATATAAAATATTTATACAATTCTTTGGAGAGAGATCGTGAAAAATATATCGGAAGCATACCTTTCTTCGATGTTCGGAAAGAATCGTCCTTAGGGACGTATTGAATATCGTAGACCAGCGTGGTGTTCGCCAACAGAGTTTTATCCTTGTTGATCTTATAAATGGCATACTTGAATGCCAATTCCGAAGGACTGTCTTTTTGATCCTCCGTGAAGATTGCACCTGCAACAGGATGAAAAAAACCAAACCATCAATAATCGTGACGAATAGAATTCTTCGAGAAATTGATAAATAATTTCGTTTCAGGTTATCAGCTGATCGTTTTTGCATAGATCGTTTGCTCGATAATAAATTTTGAACGGTTTAGACGAATTAGGGAACTTTAATCAAATTGGAATGATTTCGAAAAAAATGGTGTTGGTGGCAACAATTTTTCGATCCAAATTGAAACCATTCTATTCTATATTTTCAACAATTTTAATTACGTTGTATCGACCAGACTTTCGACGAGTTGAGCAGATCCAATTACAGGCAGCTTCGCAATAGCAAAACGTTTATAATCGCGTCTCTTTCACGAGGTAATTGCACGAACCAACAATCGATAATTTAACGTGTAATTTATTACTGTGCAATTATTCAACAGAGTTACGTGATCTATAAAACTGGAATAAGGAGTTGGTTTTGAAATGAGGAAGAAACGTGAAGTATTCCGAGAGGAAGAATCATTAAAGAACCATCATAAAATGGTTCACCAGATGGTTGGGAAAACTTTGAGCAGATATTTAATCAATGGATATCATTTAAAGTTGCTACGATATTTTAACCGATTTCTTCGAAACAAAGAAAATTTTACTTAATGATATCTAAATGTTTAAAGATATCATATTTTTATATTTGATATATATACATATATCAAACGTTGTCAAAAATATTATATTAAAAAATTTTTAATTGTAAATATATCGATGTTAGGATAATATTTCTTGATACACGAGAGGAAGAACCATTATAGAACGTATAAAGAATTTTTTAATTTTCTCAATTTCATTTCTGATTATTCGTTTGATCAATTATAAATCTTTCTCTCTTTCTCTCCCTCTCTGATCAATAAATTTAAAATATTATCTCATTAAATTCGAAATAAGGGAGAGATATGAATGAGACTTGAGACTTGAGTATGATTTCCGTCGATATAATTTTTACACGCCGAAAGCTCTCAACTTTCGCAACTTTGATGATCAATTTTATTCGTAGAGAATCGTTATACCATCCTTTGCATAAAGAAGACGAAGCTTCTTTTCCCTAGCATTTATCTTCTATTCTAATTTCACCATTGTTAATTTATCGCATCTTATTTTTTTTCCCTATTTCTCTTCAAGCTCTACGCGTAGTTTTAAGTTAAAAAGTTTATCAAAAACGATTCATCTTCAAACGAGTCGATTTAATCTTTATTTACCTTACCACGTTATATTATTTCTTCTTTCCATCAATTTTGTTTTCTCTTTTCATCTAATCTTTTTTTTCGAAACTTTTTTTCATATTTAGGTACTGTTTATATTTCGAAAAAATATTCTAAATTGAAAGCATGGATGATGTTCGTTTTGTTAGTTAGCTTGAAGTCGGGTAAAATTCACGGGCATCAATTTTACGCGATAAAATTGTCCGTTGCGAGTTTAGTCGAATTTATCCATGTCAGGGATGGAAATACCCTCGGTTGAAAACTTCTTTCATGAACCAATCGATCTCCATCGCTCTGTCAAAACGACATAGACGAGAATTGATCAAGTTGAATTAATTGTTTCTAAACGATCCTTGAAGGAGACTACATTCTTGCCTGTCTAATTATCACCGTCGAGAAGATTAATTTTCTGTCCTGGGTTTAGGGATGATCTTCCTTCCATTTATCAGAACTTCTGTGACGTTTTAAATATGTAAAGAGATTTATTGTTTTTCCAAGATAAGAAACAAAATGTGCGATCAATATTCGAGTCGATTTTATGATAATTCATGATCAATCGTAGAGAACATTTTTCGTTCGAGTTAGAAGAAGGAAAATTACAATAAATATAATCAATATTTCAAAAGAAAAATTATTTTATAATTAGTTTCATAAAATATTTTTTGTTAAGAGGAAAAGATATCTTTAGTATCTTATTTTATATTATTTTCCATTATTGCATCGTAATTATAAATTTAAATTTTCAAAAATATCTCTTTTGTACTATTTGCATAAAAGTAGGAGTTACAGGGAATTTATTTCAAAAAAAAAATTTCAAAAATATTCAAAATTATTCCAATTAGACCAAGAAAAAATAGAAACAGTACTCTTGGATAATGGTGGAAGTTGATGAGATTCTTCGTTTTGATAAAAGCTGTTTCTAATGATTGCAACAGCTATCAAAGTCTATTCTTTGTTTTCCAACTACGTTGTTTTCTCTCCTATATTCCACTGGTGCGTTTAAAGTTGCATTAAGAAGTTTCAGTGTGAGAAATGTGTGTTTGAATTTCGGTAACTCGATAAAAATTCTGTAGATAGAAATTCATACGTTTTCCTGTTTATAATATATGCCAAACAAATTTTTTAATTTGTATCATTCGCCTCAAGTTCGTATCGTGTCTCTAACCACTCTGATTTTCTATTAAATTTGTCGATTTCATTTTGAAAATTATTTAGAAGATTCTGAAAACTCATTAATTATCGTGTCAAAACGAAGGATTGATTGAAGAACTTTTTAAAAATCATACAATTAATCCTGATAATGACATTTTACATACTTAATATAAATCGAAAAAAAGGTTCTCAAAAAACAAGCATTATTTATTCTTATTTTATATCGAGAATAAATAATTTATATTATTTAGTCGAAGGATAAGAAAAATTTTATTTACGAAAAATTGATAATGTTAAAATTTAACGAAATTACGTCTAGAAGAGAATATGTCTGATCATCGTCGTCTTATATTACTCTCTTGGTGCGAATATTCCCTCAACTGTACTCTTAAGGGAGACATCGAAGAAGCCGTGTTCGCTGGAAAGCTCCCAATCGTATGCTTTTTAAATCGTTCTGACTGACGTACGCAGCGAGATGTTTTCTTGAAGAACTTTTATTGAAATTGAATATATTGAGGCGAAGGATAGAAATCGTCATTTCCCCTTTGAAATTATTTTTTCGCTAATCGAGAATTTGGAGACATAATCCGTTTTTTTTTTGATGTACATAAAATTTTTTATTTTAAATATAAAATCGAAAAATTAGATTCTTTTAAGTGGTTTTTGAGAATAGAACAATCAATTGATCACCTAAACTAGTATAATTAAGAGAAATTAGATATTAGTTTTTTAGAGAGAGGCGATTATTATTCCAAATAAAAATAGAGGATAGAGGAAAATTGAAACAATGATAGAGGAAAATTTTGCACTATTATTAACATTTTTATTATATATTATTATATTCTTTCTGGAATTTTATAAAAAAACGAGGTGCTTTTCAAATATGAATGATGCTCGATAGGAGTATGAAAGTGACAGAAAAAGATTTAAATTAAAACAATTGAGAATTTATGATAGATATTAAAAAATAAAATATTTCAAAATTTATGATTTTCTTTTACATAGGAATAATTCGTTTAAAAAAAAAGTACTCCAATTTACAATTGTATCGACGTATATTAAACAAAGTGCAAAATTTTCCATTGTCATTTTTTTTTTTTTAATTTCACATTTAATCCTATATTGTTGTCACAAAAAATTTTTTTTCGTATCAAATATAAAAAAATAAAAATTTGGAGATATTTTATTCAGCTTGCCAAGAGATTTTAAAACAAATTTACACGGATAACGAAATAATATTTAACGTTCTAAACGTTCGTTAAATTTTCAATCGATGAATTGGCAAAATATCTCACTATTGAATCTGCTTTTGGAACGAATATACTTTTAAACGCACTATATAGAAACGCTCGAGTCATAGCCGCCGAATGAACTCGATTGCACGCGGAATATAAATATTTCGCGACGGAATTGCAAAGTGTGTTTCTTTTCCGTATTGTGCTCCCCTATCGGATAGGCTACTATATTGGCCGAGTTGCGATATATCGAGGTGATACATCGAGTTTCCGCGTTTGTTTGCGATTTGAATGTGACCCACGTTCGATTCGACGATTTCACTTATAATATTTCACTCCAGTATCCTGGATTAAAAAAAAAAAAAAAGAAAAAAACAAAAAAAAAATAAAAA